GCCCCATCCCATGCAACAATTACAGCAAATGAGCGCTTTGGTGCAGCGGGCTACTACGCACACAACTCAACCATCCAATGCAACACCCGTAAATATGGCGAACAACAGCAGCATCAACAACAACAACAACAACAACAACAGCAACATTTACGGTATAACTCCTTATGCACGGGGGCCTTACGGGTCTTTTCTAGGCGCCGCAGCTATGAGCAATCCGCAGTCTTACAATCACGGGCACTCGGTGAACAACAACGTCAATCCTACCACACCTTCTACGGCGGCCAACAACGCTTTGCTAAGTCATCATGCTACCCCCTTGCACCAACAGCAACAACAACATCTGCAACATCAAACGTCCACCACGACTCAGCGGGGGATGGGGTTTCACGAAGCCCAACCCGATACTCCACCCCAAACTCCGCCGAATATGAAAGTGCCGAACATACACCTGGCCACGAATCTTCTAATTACCGCTACGCAAGCCCATACGACCGCTACCTGCCCCAGCAATAATAATTTTTATAATATTCCTTGCACCCGCTATGCAACCGGTAACTACTCACCACGCGACGAAAATAGCAGCGGTAGCAGTTGTAGTAGCGGGAGTTCGGATACTACAACGACCACACAGCAGGCACAACAATCTTATAAAGCATTATTTAGAAGGTAAGTGAAAAAATTCTTCCACTAAATTTTTTCCAAAGATTTGTTAAAAATTTTTTTATTTGTGTATGTCTCTAAATTAATTTTGAATTTGTCAGAGTTTTTTTTTCTAAGCCTTTTTCGTTTTATATACTTTCTTACAATTTTCAATAACTTTCATTAAAATTGCTTCCAAACTAATTTTTGAAACAATTTAACAAATTTACTTCTTCGGTTTTTTAAGATTTTTAAAGTTACAAAAACACTCTTCAAAACCGATCTGAAGACTATTTCGTGAAAAGTTTTTTTTTCAAGAAAACTGAATAAAAAAAGATGTACATGACAGAAAGTGAATTTCTACTACGTTTCGAATGAATATTCCCGGAATTCCCGTTTTGAATACGGGAAAATAAACAAAGAAAAAAGTTAACAAAATTATATTCAGTTGCGATAAAATCTTTCATACCCATTATCGTTATCCTATAAAATATGTGGCTTATTTTTTCTATTTTTGTTGAATAATTTTGTAGAAATTGATATTGTGTATCTTTTGTAGTCCGTACGCAACGTGCAGTTGCGACGGAAGGGAAAGTTGTTTTCGGTTTTGGTTGTATAGAAGTGTGGGTGTAGTAGGCATATTCTTTGACCTGTTTGAAACATTTTCAAATTCTTTTGCAAATTTGGAGGCGTTGTTTTCATTTTTGCGAACGGGAAACGTTTGCAAGAGATGCTATATCACACTGACATGCTTAGATGTATTACAGACGGACAGACGGACAGACGGACATGCTTAGATATATTCCAGACGGACAGACGGACTGACGGACATGCTTAGATATATTCCGAATTTGTAACTGGCCAAAAATGTATATACCTTATTGGCTTTTTGACGCCCGCTTCTGGAAGTTATAAAGGTACAAAAAAAAATTAAATTTTGATATACTATAATATTGGGATGGACCGACGGTCATGCTGAAATCGGTTCAAAATTTGATCCTGATTAAGAATATTTTTACACTTTATGAGGTCTCTGAAGCTTTATCTCATTCTTCGACGATGGGTATGAAGAACACTCTTGAGCGAAAGTGGATTATTCCATTTAAAACAATATTTAAAATTCCATTTGAATTGATTTGTTCAATTTCACAAAAATGATTGCTTGAAAAAATGAAAACTTAAAATTATGTATCAGACTTTCTCTGATTTCAAAAATGTTTATACTATAAGATGTCTTGTTTTAAAATAATAATAATAATAATAATAAGATGTCTTGTTACAGTAGTTTTATATGTGCTTTGTACATATAACACGTCGATACGTGCTGTTGTTTGTTTAAAGCCTAATGGAGTTGTAGGAAATGATGATATTTGAGTTTGGCAATGACATGCGTGGTAGTTATCTAATGGCAAAAACTGACATTCAACCCTACTTTTTTGGTTCTTCCTCCCTTTTTTGATAATTACATCCGTACGCTGGCTTTTGATTTTAGGCTGCTCTGATCACGTTGAACCTCTTAAGGCCATTTGAACTTTGATTTTAAAATTTTTTGAAATTTTCATATTGCATTTACATTTAAGTTTAGTTTAAATTAACAAATAACACAAAAAATTAAATTTTTTTTTATAGACAGTTAGTCGTGATGTTAAAACTAACCTTTTTCGATCTTCTAACAAATCTTACCTCGACGAGACCTACAGGTTCATGATCGTAAAGGAATCTCGTATATTGAACAGGGAGCACACAATCTGCCCAAAATTTGGGACACAGATGCGTTCAGAAATCCGGCATACTATTTTAGAATAGTAACCTCAATTTCACATTTAATAATTTCTTAACGAAACATGAATTAAACCAACTCTCTGTAGAACCGTATGGTCTGTGCTATATCTGCAAAATAAACTGCAAAAAAAAAAGTATCGCCTTCAAATTTGCCAGAAATATAGGAAGTTTTTGTATGTAAGTTGTTGTTGAGAATGTGTTAAATCGATAAAAAAACAAATGCAACGTCAACTGAGCTTTCTAGGTTTTCTGGTCGTTGCTTAATAACTACAATAGAAAATTGCCACGTGTGTAAGCGACGTCCGTCTGTTACTATAGAATATAAAATTTTGTTTTTTGTTATTGTTATTTTGATCTTTTTTAGGATAAATGTGGTGGATATAGAAGATTTGCTGCCGGATATAATTTATCATATAAAATTAATTTTTATTTTTATTTGTAATTCAAAATTAAAAAATGTATGACGTGTGTATAATGGTGCATTTTTCCTTCCTTTTGAATTATGAGTCTGCTATGCTCATGGTATAATTCGTTATAAATATATGTGGTAGATTAGGATTATTAGAGATAAGTTAAAAATTATTGACTATTAAATTCGATTCTCTTCTTTTGAGCTGTTAAAAATCTGTATACTCTTGACCTACTAACCGAGTAATAGAATCGATTGAGCCCTTTCCGTTGTACGTTTTGTTGTCTGTTGAAATTGCGATGATAGTCTCAATACTTTGTCGTTGTAGCAATTTTTTAATAAACGAAATCCGTCTTTGGGCTCTCCTACAATTCTCATAGAGCTAAGAAGATCATTTACCTACAGAATTGTTTCGTCCACAATGATATAAAAAACCCGTAAAAACACGGGACGCGGCTCGCTATTTAATAACCTACACGATTTCGTTTATTTGATTTACTCATATCAGGACTTTTCAAAATTAAACCTTATATAGAAAATGATTGAAAAAGTCATCCGATCTGAACTATTTGTAATAGCGTCCGTCCTTAATTTAACACACGTTGTTGATCAAAATACCTCTTAAATTGCGACCTGTAAATTAAATACAAGAATACAAAACGGACAAACAAGAATACAAACGGAGATGGGTGTTATATATATCCGCACACATTTAACATACCCTTGTTCGACAAGCGATGTAGCATATAAGTATATGTGGAACTTTTAAGAGGTATTCAAGCAAACAAACTTTTTATATATATAAATTTAAATTATTGAAAATATGTTAAAATATTGCAACGTGTACAAATTGTTGCAGTTTTGAATTATGGGATAAGTCAATTTTTTCTTTTTTTTAGTGAAAAAAAAAAAATGGAATATTATAAAATTTAAGACCTATTCATTGGAAATAATATAAATTGGTCTCCCTCTAAACTAACAGTCACGCCCGCCTTTCTACATATATATTAGGTCAAGTCATATATAACATTCGTTTTTTTTAACCGTCCTGACTTTTTTGAATTTTTCGAAGCGGCGGCAAGCAGTTATTTGTCATGTATTTAACTTTCCTGCTGTATTAATTTTTGATGATGGATCTTGTTTACAAGACGATTCGGCCGATCCTAAGGTCGTATTTTCAGAAAGGAATTTGTCAAACCATTTCCTAATTGGCCGATCATCTATTAGGCATTTATCGCATGCATTGCATCTTTTTTCAGCTGTGGCATTAGCGCTATTGCCTTGTTTAAATTCCGCGAGCATCACATGACGAGTGTGCCTTTTTTTACTTCATTTTAGGTGTTAGGAAACAGCGCATCAGAAAAAACAGCTGTCAGTACCCTAACTAAATCCTTATCTCGCTTATTAATGAAAACATAAATTCCTTTGTGCCATTAACTTACTAGTAAGTAGACACGAATATAGACATACTTTTATAGAAAGCTGTTTATTAACTCGGGCCTGATGTATATGTAAATGGTATATAAAAGTCAGTATGTTAAAATTCTTTTTCGCTTATACATTTACCGTCGAAGAGCTGTTATATCATACGATTTAATGTAAATACAAGATGTTCCACATACAATTCGCAAACGATAATCGTTCGACATATAGAGTTTTCAAAATATTCGGTAATACGCGAGCGTTTTGTTTTAAGCATTATGTTCACGTTTCAGTACTACATCTGACGATATGTTTCATACCTCTTTTTATCGAAAGGGATCATTTTGATCCCCTACATCTGACGACATGTCACAGTTGTAAAGTGAAGGTAGGAAGCTGAAATTTGGCATAAATTGATCGATTAAGAACCTAATGCTATAAAAATGGTTGCGAATTGCCTACATACACGCCGATCGTACATGAAAAACTAAATCCACCTTGAAAAAGGCGATAATTTTTACATCTGCAAGTTTGATCCAAAAATAGTACCATTCAGTTTACTATTACTTAAAATTGGGTGAACGAAATGCTAATGTGTATGCAGTAGTTTTGATGTTAAATATAAAAATCCAAATGATTCTTGTCAATTGTGCTCAATAACTTTGAAAATTTTTTATGGAACAATATACGCTTCAACAATGTTTTGAAATTTTTTCGATATAATCATCACCTTCTCAAGTGATGCTTATTCGGTTATAAATAGATGTTCAGTACTTTTGATGTAGACAATATTGAATTTAACGTTTTTCTTATCTAACCGATTCACGATAAATTACGGGCAATGATATTGAATTGAAGTTATCGGTCAATATAGAAATATAGAATATAGTGACATGGAATTACGATAGACTTGTAATAAAAAGTATCTTAAAAGTGAGCAAATATAAGATACGATTTTGGCTTCAATATAGTCCCTAAAATGAGCGACCCAAAGCCAATACTATCAGGGATGAAAAAGATGGACAATAATTATAAAAAAAATAAAATAAATTGTAAGAGTAAAAAGAGGAAATTTAATTTTCCGAACATAGATCAAGGTCATTACTTTTATGATTTCAATAAGCAGATGGACATATGGATAAATTGATTTACTTATTCAATTTGGCTCAAAATGTGTGTGATGTACTGGCCGACGGTCAACAGTTCGTTGTATACTTTATATATATTACGTATACACAATATAGGCGCACAAAAAAGTTTTGCGATGATGACGTAATAATCAATATTTGAGATTTATTCTAAGCCAGAATGTAACTTATTCAATATAATTTTGAGAATAATCAATTTTTATTTTTATTTCAGTCAACAGCAATTGATGGCAGCTGGCTTTGTTGCACCTGTATAAATTATACAAAAACTTATAAAAAAAAAAAATAAATAAAAAAAAGAACGAAAAAAAGAAAACGAAATGTAAAGCATTGAACATATACCCTGGAACGAAATAAACCCTGACCCCTTTTATTAGGTTAGTATCATGGAAAAAAAAGACAAAAAACTTTTAATTCATTGCAATGCATTTAAAATTTCTGTGAATGTTAAATTAGTTTCGTCAGATTCTATATATTTTTCATGTTGCTTTTCATTTTTTCATTTTACAGTATCTAGTTTATTTTCTGATTTGCAAATGTTCTCATTACAGAACAATGGGTTAAGTGCAAATGCATACATAATTTAATTACATATTTCATATTTAAATTGAATTCACTAATAATTAGAGAGAGAGAAAACAAAAAACAACAAAAAAGAAAAAACCAAATAAAGGAGAAAGAAAAAAAAAAACAAATAAACTAATTTTCTATTTTTTTCGTTGTTTTTATTTAATAAATTAAGTTTAAGTGAATTTATTACTGTGATAAAACACAATTTTCATTTAAATTAACTTGAAATCATTCAATAATTGATTGTAATTGTAATCAATTTTGTGTGTATGTATAGATACATTCATGCCTATACTGCATATGCAAACAAACAACAACAAATCCGCATATACAAATGGAGGCATACGCAGTTATCTATTTATGTATTACTTAGTTGCGTACACGGACTTGCGTCAGTTATAAACATTTATACGTATATCCATGCAAACATCCGTATATACATACATACATATATACATACATACATACAATACACATAAATTCATTCACACATTGAATTTGTAAAAAGAAAGAAAAGAAAAAGAGAAAAAAAATCATTACTAATTAATTATTTTATTGTCAATATTGATAAAAACATTTCAATAAAGCTAAGTATTCAATTACACAACAGTTGGCTGGTGTTCTGCCTTTTCCTTTCATTGTAATTACGCGTTAAATTAATTAAAATCAAATGAAAAACCATTTCTGTAAGTATTTTTCAATTATGTGGTTACTTACATTTTTTTTTCATTTTTCAATGCTCAATTATGAGGAATAAAAACTTTTAGACTTGTTTCTCTTGAAACTTAATACAAAATTCCATTATATGGCATGCTTTGAAACGTAAAAATGCGTATTTCGGGTTAAATGCAAAAAACCAAAAAAAAAAAATTATGAGGCATTTCTCATAGGTAGAAGATAAAATTTCGGTTTGTTTCTTAATAATAAACGCAAATAATCTCTACCACCAAAAAAACTGCAAAAGTTTAGTAATGAAAGACTATACAAGAAATAATAGCAATCGTTGCTATCAAATCATAAAAAAAGGATTGTGTAATGAAACGAATCAATTCGATTCTGAATCGTGTCCTTGTCGCACAGTGATGAATGTAATTTTAAAAAAAAATAGGAATACGTTATTGATTGCTTGCTAATATTGATTGAATCCATGAAGAATATGAACTGTTTTTCGACTTAATCATATAGATCGAGTCGGTTTTCCTAGTTAAGTTTTCATGTCGTGACTTTTATGCACAAGCGAACGAGCGAAAGATAGCTAAACTTATTCCACTTTCGTCTCTCTGGTGTATATTATCGTTTACGAATAATGAATGTGAATTATAAATAAATAGCTATCTCTTGTGGTCAATTAACCCCAGAAGAAAAAGTGTAAAATATCTCAGCATACTCATCACTCGTGTATGTGAATAGATTCGATATTTCTGAGAGAATTATCGCAAACCAAGTAAAATTTCTTTTAATTTCCCTTAAGACAAAGTCACATATACTGTGATATTTCCTGTATAAACTTAATCTGTTTTCGTCTGAGCAGTGTATTGTCAAATTTGGCTTGTGTATGAAATAGAGATTTGCACATTATTTGTACTTTATTAGGCGGATGAGCCGATTTTTGTTGTGCTTTTTATTATATTCGGGTATTAAGACTTGAGCGAAAGAATTCTGCTTTCACCCGCAGAAACGTTGAAATGACTTTTTTTGGAAGACTAATGATGCAGCAATAGCGGCAACAACAGCAATTGTAATAACAATAAAAATAACACTAATATATAACTAATAATGACATGAAGGACCGATCATTGAAATGAAATTATTTTTCAACAAATTTTAAGAAATTTCTGATGGTGAAAACACGAAAGACGTGTTAGCACAGATTGAATTTGTTTTAATTGCTTTTCGTAGATAAGTACGTCTGATATTGCAATGTACAAACATTACAAATAAGCACAACAAGAGGCATATCACATTTAATAAATGCTTTTAATCTTTTGAAACACGCCTCGAAGTCTTAAGAGAGTATAATTTTTTCATTGACGAGAAGAGCAAAATCGTTTAAAGAACCTCTGTTTACTTATATTTCGATCTGAATGCCTGTTTATTTGCTTGTTTCCTGTGTTCTGTTGAAAGTGTGAAAGCAATTTTCAAATTCTGTAAAGAGATTTTAAAAAATAAAGTCTGCTGCCTTTATTTTCGAAAACAAAACTTTTAACAAATAGTATGTTTTTTAATTGAGTAGGCATTTTCTAAAGTTAAGTCTTCATTTTTTCTTTAGCTAAATCTACGAATCAAAGTTGGAAATTGAGCAAGATACTTCCCCGCTCTCTCGCAAAAAAAAAAAAAAAAAAAAAAAATTGAATATCTTTAATTTGTGTTATAGCCTACCGATTAACTGAAAAATGACGCCAAATTGTATAAAAGAATGATTTCGGGCAAATGTATGGCATTCAAGAATTGGTTTCAAACCAAACATATCGCATCTTCGTGACTTTATATATGTTTTTGTTGTCGCTCTCTGTCACTATTTTTTATACATATTAAATGATATTAATTAAGATCTTTTTTATGAACGTAGTTCCAGGCATTATTGGTATTGTAGCTAATGGTGTAGTAGTACCAGCGGTAGTGTAATTATTGTTGGTGTTTGCATATTATAGATTCTCGTTTGTCTGCGCTTGGTAGTCAAAATAACTGAAATCGAAAAGAAAAATTAAAAAGGTAAAAAATGACTGCATTACTCTGACTAATACAAGTACCATCTCGTGCTCTTTTTCCCTCTTATGTAATGCTCATACATGCATACATACTATTATTCATATATTTTCATACTCATCACCGAAGCATGAGGTGTGTGTTTATTTTGTCAAAACGTTTGCAACATCTAAAAAGAACCATCAGAGACCTCAAAAACTATATACCGTCTGCGCTATGTCTGTTGTAAACATTCTCCTACCCGCAAAAATGAAGCTATCGATGTCAAATATGGCAGAAGTATTGGTAATATTAGAATTGTAGGCTGGTAGTGAAAATGGGCGAAATCGGTCAAAGCACAGGCCCACAGCGCCACGTAAAGTGAGAACATTTATGTAAATTTTTTGCCAGCTTCAAATGGATATCTGTGTGTTCGTCTGTCCATCTGTCTGTCTGTACAACTATGTAGTGTTTGTGGTAAAAATTCTCCCGTTAACGAAAATGAAGATGTCACCTACAAGTTTGCAAAAGAATTTGGAAGTGACTTCAACTTTTCTAAGGATACAGCTACAAAGCTACAAGCTACAGAAAAAATCAGCTGCGTGTGATATTGTAAAGCATGAAAATTTAGTTTTTTTACTTCTTCTCTTTTTCTTAGGAACGGTAATGGGTATAGGAGATTCGTTCACGACCGAATATAATTTTCTTACTTGTTTTTCAATATACTCGCTAATTGAAGCGTGGTATAGCGGCACAGTAGGAAAGGAAGGGTGTGGTGGGGAGATGAAGAGACGGCGGATGTGAGTATAAATGAAAAGTAGAACGTATAAGAATTCCTGCAATATTTATTTGATAGAACAAACATGTCTCCGTATAATTATGTTTCAATGTTTACACGTTTTACCCATTTCCACAGTTTTCGCTGGATAATTAGCGCACAGTGCATTTTTTTTAAATATATACACATTCATACATCAGCTAACCAAGCAGTCATTCTCCTACGTGTCATATCTTGGCATGTCGCACAATTGAGTTCACTTCATTTCAAATGAAAATGAATTGAGTTAAATTGCACTTGTTTTTGGTTTTTACTATTGTTTGTATGCTTTAAACCGGTTTCACTCTGCACCGATCTATGGTCTTGTCATTAGATAATTCTTTTTTTTTTAATAAATTGATTGCATTTGTTAAAATTTTATTATATTAAGCATATAAGATTTTTTTTATTATGTTAAACATAAAACAACTTTGTTACGGTTTTTGCGGTGTTTTGCGGTGCTAACCTATTTTATGATATTCGCTCGATTAGTCATTTGTTTCCGGGACGTGTTTCATAACTGATTAGTAGTCAAAAATCATTTGCTTAAACACATTATGAAAATCGGAAAAAATAGTTGGTGTGTCTTGCCACAGTGCTAGCAATTTAGAAAAAAAATACCTCTGTTATTCGTGGGTAATTTAGCAGGAATCATAATATTACAATAACAAATATCGTCAAAAATCATATCAGGTTTCAACAGATTTTAATTCTATTTTAATTATAAAAGCACAATTCCGAAGCCATCAGTACAAATGTCTTATATATATGATTGGAAGAATTGCATGCCTGGGACTTATGACCTCAAAAAGACGGAGGTAAAAAGTTGAAAAAAGGAAAAGAAAGCAAAGTTTGACAGGAAGGCGCCTACGAAGCTATAGCTTATCCAAGATTAATATGTAACCGGGAGACCAGTACAGAAACAGCTACGTCAAAAAAATGGGCATTTCGGTCATTCCCCGAAACTCTCCCTCTCTTCCTTTATATATATATTAATTATTGATTGATTTCATTTCACTGGCTTCATTGTGTTTAGGTTAAGTACTATTCATTTAATCTGCAACAAAGCAAACGGAAGAATAATTTAGTTTCGCAGTTAACGGATTTAGTTGACCGCAGTTATATGGGAATTGTTAAAAAAATACAAAATTTTTAGTTTTTTTTTTGTGTATTAATTAACGGCAAAACGATGAATAGTTGAAAATCAGTAGTTATCTA